GGGCAAGTCAGGCTTATTGCTGGGCGGCCGCTTATGAGATTTAAATTTTAATTGAATTTCTCTCTCTCTCTCTCTCTTTCTCGACGCTACATGCAATAAAAGGTCTAAAATATGGTAGTGTAAACGAGATCAATATAAAAATGTTCATTTTCATTCAAATTCATTTTTACGTCAACGGTTACCATTCAAGACCTCAAATTTTGAATTTTTCAATTTTGCATTAAAATACAGTTATTTCACTTGTGACGAGGGGGAATCTTGGGCAAATTTTGGCAAAACAAGTTATATGTAAAAAAGTAATGTCAATTCCCCCAGTTAGGTCAACAAAGAAAAATTTTATTTTGGTTACTTTTTTATTAAATAGTTACAATCAATGTAAACTATGCATAGACATATGACAGAATAGCAATATTAAGTGACAAAAAAAGCGATTTTCTTTCAATTTCCATTTTCCTTTCTGTATAGGGAGTTGCCCTTTTATTTATTTTGTTACTCTATTTAGTCATTCATTAAATTTAATTATTCAAACAAAGAAGTATAGTTAGAAAGTAACCACATTCTCAGAAATTAAGCAATTTCCGGCGGAATTTGAACCCACTATCTTTGGATTAGAAGACCAACACGCTATCTATTGCGCTACAGATAAACAACGAGCGATTCTCCTTTCTATAAATGCTTTTGGAGTAATATTTTTGTTTGAAAGGTTAATATATTTGTTCAATTTTTCATTTAAGTTACGAATTAATATTTGAAAAAACTGTATTTAACATCAAGTGTCATCTACTACAAGTTTAAATTAACTATTGAAAATTTGAACAGGATATATATATATATATATATATATACATATATATAGGAGAGTGAACTAATAGTATTTATTGAAAAAGATGTCCATGGCTACAAAATAAGCTTGGAAGCCACTGGCATAGAGGAAGAATGGAACTTAGTGTATTTTTTTACAAAATTGTTTGATTTTTTTTAATAATCAATACTGTAAAAAAAGCAAGTCTTGGACAAATTTGGTTTGTGAACTCCAAAAAAATTTTTGTTTTCTAGATTCTTTTAAAATTTAATGAGAAGTTTTATGAAAAGTTAAAAGCTTTAACTACAATTATAAATATTAAAAGTGAGAAAATTAAAAGAACATTTCAAAACAGTCCTTACTCAAAAGTCTGTGCAGAGTAAATACCCTAACGAAATATGAAGCACTTAAGGTATCCGACTACGTTCGGAACCATGATTTTAAAAAAGAGCATAAATGGATAATTTCATGATATTTAGTGTCACTCAGATTAGAATACATGCATAAAATTGTTTTAAGGACATTTTGACACAAAAAAAGGTATTTAAATATAATATTTTGGCAAAAAATTAACTTAGAAAAATCTTTTTTCCAAATGTTCTCCTTTTGTGAAAATTGGTTCTATTATAATAATATTTTGCTGTATATAGCTCAGATCTCTCTACAGAGGCTCAACTAGAATTTTTGCTTATCTGATGCTTTAAAAGAGCCTAAGCATATTTCCGTTAAAAAAATTCACATTTGTTTTTAATAGATCTTTTTTCTTAATTGCTTTACTTAAGGAAGACTTTGTGTGCACACGTGAGGAGTGCCAACAAATGTAGTTACATGCGCCAACAACGGAAAACCATCCACACTCATGTTTAAAAAATGTTAACTCTTTATCTACCGAAGGTACTTATAAGTACCACTCAATTTAAAACTACATAGAATAACAATTTTTACGAATACTCTAAGGATTCTTAGTAGGAATATTCATTTAAATCCACTCTTCCAAGATATAGAGCAGCGCGGGTCCTATGATTATTATTTTAGCGGGGAAGGCGAATAGTTTCATAGCAGAAATTGCATTTTTCAGCTGACGACGCTTTCAACGGATTCTGAAGATTGTCATTTTTGATCCGAAAAATTCCGTTGTTTTTTTTTTGTATGTTAATAAAGACCTTAGAAAGCGATCTGACTTTTTATTTTAAGTGAACAGAGTGTATAATTAATTTTACAGTTGAATATCTTTAATTAACTAATTAGCTCTAACTAATTAAATTTCCCAAAGTTGAGTATTTTGTTCATATATATGGTCAATGTGTAGTGATTCAAAAAAAAAATTATTGCATGAAAAAAACTGCAGTAAATCATAATGCGGTAGATAAAGAGTTAAATGCATTTGATGACATTTTGATTTGGCAACGTTAAAGGATGGGTTTTGAGGAAATCAACTAGCATAGGGGGTTTAAGGGACATTTTAGACAAAAACTCTCGTTTCTAAGCACTTAGACGCGTAGTGATATCGTACAGACATGAGTGATCACTTTTGTCTAGTAGTCATGTTACTCAGTTTCGGATCAATAGGTCTCGAGTTTTGTCCTGCAGATATGCTCCACCACAAACGTAATGACTTGAAATTTGGTAAGCATTTTTCTTTGGTCCACTATTAAAGATGTTTGCGGAAATCGTCTCCCAAGTAAAGAGTAGATAGGGTTACGGGATGTTTCGTATAAAAATTTCAGTTTCTGAGCTTTCAGAACAACAGACTTGAAGTTTTCCAAGCATGTTCCTTTTGTTGAGTACAGATCTACTTTCGAAAATTGACTCTCAAAGTGTGGGATTACGGGTTTGTAAGATACAAATACGTTTATATTTAACATTAGAACGTCCGTCGTAGTCAATTTGACACCGGAGTCTGTTTACTTTGTTCTCCTTTCCGAATTTTTATAGGGAATTTGAAAAGTTTTGTGACTTATAATCACTTTTCCTGGTGATTACAAAGAAAAGGTTTTGTGGTTCTAGTTTAATTAGGAATGCTTTTACAACGAAATATACCTAAAACGTCCGTTGGTGTCATTTCGACCCCAAGGCTATTTATCCTTATAAAAAGCTGTCGTTCAACAAAATAATGTCCACTAAGTATATGCCATTAGTAAAACAAACTTCCCAAAGTTCTATGGCATATTTTTTTAACTTGAATACAGTGTTATTTAGTTCACAGAGGAAATGAATCAATTATACTAAAATTGTTGTGACTAAGTGTTTTGTTACAAAGTAATATACTTATCTGCTCATTAAAAAAATAAATAAAAATAAAAAATATTTGATTTTCAACTTTAATGCAGAGCAGACAACATGAAACGATGGCTCCTTGAAAAGGTCCCCCTTATGAAATTGCTAATTTGTTGCGACCGCTTTCTGAGATTGAATTGGCTCTAGCTTAGATTCCGATGAAGACATAAAATAGAAAGAAAATGACAGGATAGAATCTGAAGAAAGTAAAGATGTAATTTATATTATTCCAGTAAATTCTGATATATATGTCGCTGGAATGGCATAAAATAGATACCGGATAATAGTAATGTTCCTAACATATTTGCGACTCGACATGTTTTGGGACAAAGCAGTGGTCCAACAAGCTTCGCGTAACATAATGTTAACGTCAGTTTTTTTTTTTTATATATATATAAACGGTCATAGTATATGATAATTACATGAAATAATATTGAAAAGTCTTAAAACTAAGCCCTACTTAACAGTAGTCCTGCAATTATTTAGTTAAAATAATTATTTTATATATTTTATGTCGCGGTGGCAAAATGACACCGCTGCACATTTAAGGGTAATCGAAATCCCGGACGTTTCTTGTGTTAAAAAATTCGAGTCCTATTTGGTTTAAATAAAGTGGTAAGGGTTTTATGTAAAGGTTAAAAATGTTTAAAAATACAATCGGAAGCTTAATAATAAGACTTGCATATCAATAAATTTAGAAAATGTACATACAGTGGGCCACAAATGTGTTCATACACTTGCAATTTCTAACAAAATGTAATGTTTTCGACCAATAAAAATTAGTATATTGAAATAGTAATTTTTAATGATATCTGCAAAATGTTCTTAATAGAATGACATAATCAATTTTTTAAAAATTGTATAACTATTTTTTTAAAAAAAATAATAATCAAAAAGCTACTAAAAAATTACGCCACAAAAGTCTTCGTACACTTAACAAAAATCTCAACATAGCTTTAAATATTGTATTTCTTTCTTAATTTAGTACTTAGTAGGATATCTTTTAGTGTCCACAACAACTTTAAAAGTTCTTGGTATAGATTTAATCAGTTTTTTTGTAATTTCAGTATCAATTTTCGACCATTCTTCCATGATTATTGTTTTTACTTCACATTATGTGTTTATATGTCATGTTTTCTTTTTTTTAAATTACAATCTCTCCAAATATGTTTTATTGGGCTAAATAAAGTGATTGAAGAGGTTTTTCAGAATTTGGGGACAGTTATAGAGATACCAGCGTAGTCCATTGCGAGCAGTGCGCTTGGCATTGCGAGCAGTGGCATTGCGAGCAGTGCGCTTGCTCATTATCCTGTTAAAAATGAAGCGGTTTCCTATATCCAAATTTTAGGCGGATAATTTAAAATTTCTCTTTAAAATATTTAAATAGAGCTAATGATTAGAATACCATAAAAAATATCAAATTACCTAATTCTGAGGTCAATTTACACCCCCCCCGCAAGAACATGTCCACCTCCATGGTTCATTGATCAAACTAGATTCTTGGGATTAAGTTTCAGAAAATACAAAATTGACAGCAAATTGATTAGAATGACAGAAAATTCAACATTTTTGGTTCTGATGGGTGCATAATAATTTGCAAATGATAAAATGAGGAATTTTATCCCATGAATTTATCCCATGAACTCCTCCATCTCCATGCTGAAGCATGGAGCCGGATGTGTTCTTGCTTGAGGGTGTAAATTGGCTTCAGAATTAAGTAATTTGTATTTATTGGTGGTATTGAGAATCATGAGCTCTAATTAAATATTTTAAAAGGAAATTTTAAATTATATCCACCGAAAATTTGGATATAGGAGGAGACTTAATTTTTTAACAGGATAATTACGCCAAGCGCACTGCTCTCAATGTACGCCACTGGTATCTCTATAACTGTGCCCAAATTCTAAAACACCTCCTCAATCACTTTATTTAGCCCAGTAAAACATATTTGGAGAGATTTTATTTTTAAAATAAATAAAACATGACATATAAACACATAATGTGAAGTAAAAACAGTAATCATGGAAGAATGGTCGAAAATCGATGCAGAATGTACAAAAAAACTTATTAAATCTATACGAAGACGTTTAAAAGTTGTTGTGGACACTAAAAGATATCCTACTTACTGAATTAAGAAAGAAATACAATATTTAAAGATATGTTGAGATTTTTGTTAAGTGTACGAAGACTTTTGCGGCGTAATTTTTTAGTAGCTTTTTTATTATTAATTTTTTAAAAAATAGTTATACAATTTTTAAAAAAATTGATTATGTCATTCTATTAAGAACAAGTTGCAGATATCATTAAAAATTACGATTTCAATATATTAATTTTTATATGTCGAATACATTAAATTTTATTGGAAATAGCAAGTGTACGAACACTTTTGTAGCCAACTGTATATTATCATGAAATACCCTTCAAACGCGAGAGCAATAATACATGGAATTGAAGAAATGTAATACATAAAAGTGTCTACAGAACTGAATACATAGAATAAACCAGATTGTTTTAATATTTTAAAATAAATTTCAATTATTTTCCGAATGACGTTACAACTGAAAATTCT